AATTTTCTATTGGTTAATAAATCTATAAACGTCTATCTACTCATAGCGACATCATAGAAGAAATTTTGTTTCTAAAATAATTTTATTATAAAAGAAAATAAATCAAACTTTTTTTTATTAAAAATAAATAAATATGAAAATATTTGAAGTATATTGAATGGAACCTAATGATAAGTTAAGTACAACCACTCAAATGGTTGTCGTCTTCGTCACCGTCATCATCATCATTACCTTTTATTCTTACTCTCCTCTTACCCCGCTTTGTCTGATCCATCCCGATATTCATCTCATCCATCACCTTGTTCTTTTTTCCTTCCTTTACTTTTTTTTATTTCAACGCGTTTTTTTTTATTTTGACGTAAATCATCGTTGTTTTTTGCTTATTTTTAAAATCTTCTTTATCAACAGTTTTTTATTATTTAAAGAAGTTGAAAATAAAAAAGAAATGGACTTCAGTAAAATCAACTTAAGTAGTTATGTGCCAGCAATGCCTTATAAAGTTCGTGAACTATTAGACAAAGCAACAAATATGGTTATGAATTATACAGAAACAGAAGCAAAAGTTGTAGAAGCAACTAATGATGAGCCTTGGGGACCATCAGGTAAATTATTACAAGAACTTTCTCAATTATCATATTCATATGAACATTTTACTGAGGTAAAATTAGATAATATCATTATATATATTGACATTGACTATTTTCTTTTTATTTGATTATTCAAGTTAATGGGTATGCTTTGGAAACGATGTTTTGGACAAGAAAAAAAATTTTGGCGACGAACATACAAAGTACGTAGTTTGTTTTGTTCTGTATTGTAATTGAATAGTTAACAACGATAACGACATTTTTGAGATACGAAGGGAAGGCACCATGTTGATTAGAAATTTCCCATACTATGTCTTATCTATTTTTGTTTACATACAATATTAAGATGAAACAGATGTTTTTCTTTTACACTTCATTTCTATACAGCTATGTAAACATCAGTTTGATTTAAATAAATTATTTATTTTTAGTCATTACTTGTTTTAATCTATCTAATAAAAAATGGTAGTGATAAAGTGGTAACATCAGCTCGGGAACATCTGTATGATTTAAAAAGTCTGGAAAGTTATTCTCATCATGATGAACAAGGCAAAGATCAAGGCATTAATGGTAAAAAAAAATATTCATTTTATCATTGTATATAAATCATATTATTTATTTTTAGTACGACATAAAATAAAAGAAATAGTTGAATTTATACAAGATGATGATCGACTTCGAGAAGAACGTAAGAAAGCGAAAACGAATCGAGATAAATATGTTGGTGTTGGCAGTAATACATCAACTACTCGTTATGGTACGTTTGCTATTATTATTTATTGATTTTATTATTTTTAACCTTTTTTTTTTTAGGTGATAGTTGGAATGATTATGATGATTCAAATAGTGCCAGTGGAAGTAGTAATACAACAAAAAAAAAAAGATTTTGTTGAATTAGATGGTCGTTGGCGTTCAACAAATCCATCAATATTTGAAGAAGGTTTTAATAAAGCTGAAGATTTAGCACATAAAATGAAAGAATTAGTACTTGATCAACGACGTCCATCTCATGAATATTCACCGGATGTGAGGTAATTATTCGTTAGGGTCTGTGATGAATCATTCGATCCTAAACCAGAGATTAAGTTGCTCCTTTTAGTCTAACTGGTTTAGGACATGTGCCCGAATAACAGAAGGTGTGAGTTCGAGCCCCACGAAGGTCATCTCTTTCGCTGATGTCCTTTTCATGGCTCTAATATAATCCTAACATTATTATAAATTTGCAATGATGATACATTTCATGCGCGTCATCTGATAAAGCTTGATGAATGCATTTCTATCCATTCATAATATACTGAGCAAATTTCATCTTTAATAATTACAAATTTTTTCATATTTATTTTTAGTGATGATGAGGGTCGATATTCGAAGAAGTCTGATTTCCATGATAAACCATGGAATGAACAAAAAAAATGATCATCAAAGTAAACCAAAGGTAAATATATTAGTTTTATTAATTTCCGAATTTATCATCAAATTATTTTAGGAAACAAATTTTGAAGTAAGAAAACCATCATTAACAACAAATGATACTCAACCGTCTTCACAAACTCGAGTAGGTTTGATACGACTTGTAAAATTTTAGTACGAGATAAAGAAAAAAAAGGAGTACAAGATAAGATTTTTTTTATTGGTATGTCAAGGTAGTTTTATACAAAAAAAAAGGATGATAAAATTTTTTTTTCTTTCTTTACTAAATAAGTGTAACATCAAAAAAGAATATCGGAGCATTGAAATTTCCGGAAGAATGAATATAAATGTTGCGACTACGCCTTGCTATTCTTGGGTAAAAGAATTATTACTGCTTAATCAAGAGTATGAATGAATGTATTGAAGCTTTAATAATTGATAGACGTATATGAACAATCTGTTCGAGTGGAATAATTACATTTAGAAAAATTTCTTCGATAGTTTTCTGTAAATCTAAAACAATAATAATAATTTTAGTATGAGATTCTTTATTGATCATACATTTATTTATTTATTTTTTAAAGTCTTCTACAACAAATAAAAAACCACAAACAATTCCACAAATTCCGACTTCAGTTCCACCTCAAGCTCCTGTTGGTGATTTATTAGGTGACGATGATGGCTTTACACCATACGTTCAAGCTCCAAGCGTTAAATCTCCAATTGATGATGATTTTGGTCAATTCCATGAAGCACCAAACATTCCAACGAAACAAGTGATATCTCCAATTAATACGTAAATAATTTCTTGTTTTTTTTTTAAATATTCATCAAAAAATATTTATTTAGAGTACAACCTTCACTCTGGCCAACAGCAACAACAACAACAACAACTCCATCACTTCCAGCATCATCATTGCTATTTGATCCATTTGAATCATTAGAACAAACTACATCAACTTCAAGTAATCTCGTCCAACCAATAGATCCATCATCAACATCATTATTCACAACACCCAATGTAACTTCTTCAAATGATTTAGATCTATTTATGATGCCAACTCAAACGACTCAACAATCATCAATGTTTTTTCCTGCTCAACAACAACAACAGCAGCAGCAGCAATCATTTGGACGTCCACCGATGTTTCAACAGCAACAACAATCCATGATGTTTGCACAAACACAACAACAACAATTTAATAAACCAAATAATAATGGATTCAATGTAAGTTTTAAAATTAATATCTAAAATAATAATAATTAGAAAGGAAAATCAAATACAAATTATAGGCTGTATTTCCTGATTCATCTCCGGCAGTTGCTCAATCGCAGCAACTTGCCAACATGGAGAAACAGGTATAATTTGCTGCTATAATATTTTGTTGCTTATTGGAAATGAATTAACTAATAATGGGATTCGATTTTTTTTTCTTTTCTTTTCATATGTATTTAAATCTAATAGGAATATTTTTTATTATTTCTTCTTTTAGAATACTTGGACATCAGCACAAGGTAAAATTGATATATCATTAAATAATCTTATACCACATACACGTGGTGATCCTCACAAAAATTCTCTACCTCTGAATCAATTAACCAGTCCAACAAGTCCAACAAATAGTGATTTTTCATCATTAATGATGATGAATAACAATACTCAATCTATATTTTCGAATTCAAGTAAGAATTTAAAAAAGAAATCGCTATATAATGTTATTTTCTTGTTTGCTATTTTAGCACTTCCAATGAACGGTTCTGGTAACCGTCCAATACTCAAGTGAAAAAATTAATATATATATATATTTATCTGAGAGTGTGTATGTTGTGCAGAGCTTGTGTATTTATTTTTCAGCAAAAAGCTTCATTGACTTATTTATTCTTTACATACAATTGTTAACAGACGAATTAATCAATGTACAATTTACAACAATTATTTAGTTATTTAACTAAATATGATTAATCTGCATTTTTCTTTTTTTGTTTGTTTCTCTTCATTTCGTCCAAATACTTTTTCCTGTGCAGACATTTTCTGACTACATTCTTGTTCACTGAACAGTGGAATTTCTGTTTTCTTTTTTTTTTTTGTTCTTTTTGGTTTTCTTTGACTCTTTGGCAATCTATTATTTCTGTCTTTTTTCTCCTTATAACAAAATATTTATGTCCCTAATTTAATGCAACAAATACTTTTCACAATGCTCGATTGTTAAATAGAATCAATAATACTCTGTTGTTTTTTATATTCAAACAGAGATACGAAAAACAGACATATATATATACTAAATAAAATTGTATTATTCCATCAGATGATTTTCATCAACAATAAATGTGAATTTTTATTCGTCATGTATACTCAAGATTTTAAGCAGCGAAATAAACTCGGAATTGATATGCATACTAATGCATTCTGTTCGCATGTTACTCCCTTACTTATTTTGAATCAATATTATTGTATCATATTCTCAAGTGTATGAAAATTGATTTATGCAAAATAAGAAATATACTTCAAAAGAACATATTCTTAAAATATGACTACTAGTTTTTTTTAATAATCTAATTAATCTATGAAAACCATGTCACTTCGCTTGACGCATTCAATATTCATGATAGTGTTGATTACTCATTGCTATCTTTGAATAATATACTAAATGTCAAGAAAATTTGATATGCTTACTAACAAATATGTATTTATATATATATATTTAATATAACGGCATCGTAAAGGACATAAAAACAGCTCATTCTCTAGAGTGATCGATTAGAACAAAATACAATATAAATCAATATAATATACCGTTTTATAGATATTTTAGATCGTTAAAAGCATCATTTCCGACAGTCGAAATGATTAATTTCAGTAGATATTTTTCTTCATTGTTCTTTAAATAAATTTATCATCTATGTAATGTAATAATGGGTCGATCAAAAGCAGTAGTTAATCTTTATTTATGATGATCGAATCTTCTTCTTTCCAATGAGAATGTTAGCTATATTTGATTCATTCATTTATTAATAGCTGATGCTAATAAAGAGAAAAACACGAACTTTCTGAAGAGTATGACGGATGTATAGCAATGGAAAAGACATTAGTCCAGATAAATATATTCAACACCAATTCCTGTATGATTAAACTAATCCATAGAAATTGCAGTGAAAGAATCCACCATCGATCTGCAGACATGGACTATATCTAATTCTTACAATCAATGAGTGCTCTCAGAGTCTGATAAAATCCAACAGTCTATTTGGAATATACAAAAATGGGTTTAATAGTTCTCATGAATCATAATATCAGTAGTTTTCCTTATCATATTCTTAGAAATCAATAAAATATACATAACAAAGAACTCATCCAATTAAATATATTTTAGACATTTGTTAAAAGTGATACAATAAATTGTGAATAATTTAAAAATAAATATCTATTGCTTTATTAAAGTTATAATCTGTATGTGATAGCGGTACTGAAATCAAGCAACAACACATATGAACATATTATTCATAATTTGTAAGTCGAAAAATCGAAAGCTGAAGTTTAATTTACATCATTGATCAAATTATTGTAAATTTGGTTGTTCGATAAAATATTATTCATTTGCACTTTATATAATTCGTTTAATTTTCTCTTCAATCCATATACATTTATTAAATATTTGAAATATTCCATTACTATATAAAACCAATAATATCCTGCTTTTTATTCAATAAAATAAATAAATAAATAAATAGATAAATAAATAATCCATTCCATTACTCCCCAAGTTGATTCTCGTTAATAACTTCTCTTAAATCTTCATTCTCAAATAATGTTGCATGATGACCATTTTTACCGATAAATAACATTACACGTGCTAATGCAATTGTACTAATAGTCCATGATGGTTTGATTACTTTAACGACATGCACGAGAGGTTGAAGAGCTCGTTCATACCATGCTTTATCCGACAATGTATGCGAAAACAAAACACTTGCTGGACGTACAATATACGTATCTTTCAGACCACCTTCATTTATTAAATCATTTTCAGTTTTACCTTTAATTCGACCAAATAAAAATCGGCTTTGTTCGGATGAATCAGCACCCATACCACTAACGAATACAAATCGCATATCTGGATTAACACTTGCGATAGCTTTCGCAGCGGCTAATGTATAATCATGTGTAATTTTTATATATTCACTTTCACTAACAGCATTCTGTGAGATACCTAATGCCCAAATACATATTTGATGACTTTCAAAGAGATTCAATATTGGAGTATAATCAAGAAAATCTGTATGAATAACAACATTAACTTTTTCAGATGTAATACTTTTATGAAGCGGACGCCGTGTAATAGCTGTTATAAGTTCGATATCTTTATCTTCAATTGCTTGCTGGACACATTCACAGCCAATGAGACCTGTAGCACCAAATATGATAATTTTCATATTTAGAATAAGGAAAAAGAATCTAAATATTTAAAATATTATTGATTAAAATGTAAGTGGAAATGTATGTATTTAGAAAAAAATGAAACTACATGCATAGTTATTATTTATGGACGGAATAGTAATTCGATTAAAATTAGTAAAAAAGAAAATTTTTAAAAAAGACGAAAATAGCGATCTGTAAGTGTCATATCATCGACGAATCTAAAATATCAATATAAAACTAAATGAAATATTCAAATAATTTACCTTGTCATTTCAGATTGAGCATGAACATGACGTTTTTCTTGTGTCCATGGTTCTCTCGTTTTTAATGGTTCATCTTTAGTCCACCAGCCAACTAATCAACAGATTCAAATATATAATCTATATATATCGGAATTCATTTTACTCACCTTCTTGAGCAGCTGTCAATGGACGTCGCGTAATTTGATTTGGACGTTGATCACCACGTACATGCATCGTACGTAAAGTATGATAATTTCTAATATTTAAAAATATTAAATAGTTTGATATTTCTGTTTGCTTGTTTCATTCGATGAAATGCTTACAAATTTGATGCAGCAGGTGTTGACCATTCACGTGATTGTAAATTTCCAGTTATTTCTCGAGCTAATTGTTTTTCGATTGCGCTTTTGGCTTGACCACTTACTGGTACTTTTCTTATTTCAGTTGTACCATGTGCTGTACTTGTTGGCTCAAGATGTTTCATAGATTTAAAACGATTATCATAGCCCATGAATGTTAAATTGAAGAATGACATCGTTTATCTAAAATGATGTTAACATTCACAATGAATCAGCGATACTTTTTATATATCTCATTACTGACAAGATTAGTTGGATTTACATGATTAATACTAGTTGACTTAAAATACTATGTATAGAAGAAGAAAAAAATCAAGCATTTATTATTTATAATGAATTCAACAGGATTATTCTCGACTATAAACACAATTGTTTCATTAAATGTTAGTAAACATATTCGTTGTAGTAAATAAATACAATGATATCTAAAATTAAAGCAAATAATCGTTCGCGACTAATACCGATAGAACTTAAATAAATTTGAAAGACGATTAGAAATATATTAAGCGTAAAAAAGTGAATACTACATTATTAATTAGAGTCCTTTATTATAATAAACATAAGGTAAATTTGTTTTGGCTTGAATTTCTTTTTCAAGTTCATTGGTAGCCACCTGTTGAAATAGTATAAATAAATAAAAAAGGTTGATCATATAAATTATGATATTTACTTTAGCTTTTTGTGGAAATAATGCAATCGACATTGGTAATGCCAAACCAAATGAAAGAGTACAGGCAAGTGTATTTAATGGTAAACTCATACGTGGAAAACGACGAAGTATATTCCTAGAAAGAAAGAAAAAAAATCGATTAATTAAATCTGTTGTATTTTGGGAATTAAGAAAAATCTTACTTTTCGAATGCTAACATAATAACAGGTGGAAAGAAAAAAATTGGTACTGGTAAAAATGCACGTGCCATTGCCATTTCAGTTAAAGCCTAGATCGAAGAATTAATTTATTCAGTTATTTGTGGTAAATCAATATTTTCAAATAATAATAACCTTTTTAGCTGCTACTTTTGAAACACCAATTGGTTTATCTTTTTCATCAAGGACTTCAATGCCATCATATAATTCATGAAAACGCATAAAAAGAACATTACATGTACTTGCACATGCTACAATTCGAGTATTTATATTGTGTTACTTGTTTTTCTTAAGAAGAAACAATATTTTTCCTTACCGACAGCGGGTAATGGAACAAATCGTTGCACGACATTCTTGAGTGTTGGTGGAAGTGATTTTGCACGTCGAATTATCATGGTTAAACCAACCTGATATTATCCATAAAAATATATGAATATGTTCTACTATCCATTTCGAAATAGAATGCAGTCGGGTGCATTTTGAATAACTTGAGGCTATCTAGCCATACAACAATCAGCTAATTCTTTATGGTTTTCTAGGATTTGTCAGAAATCCTCTAGACAATCACTTGTGAAAAAAGTTAGAACTTCAAGTTCTTGGATTGGATACAATTTCTCATCATGTCTTCTGCAAGATAAAATCAGACTGAGGTCGCTATAATGTTCAGTTCATGCACTAACGTCAATTGACTAAGGACCTCTATTTACAATAATGTGTAGTCGAAAAAGGGTTACAAGCCCTGTAGTTTTTTCTTTTTCTCATTCATGGGATTCTGTGACATTCGCAAAAGCAGAAAATAACCATACGTTACGTATTGCATTTACCTGAGATGACGCATTGGATTACTTCCTCACGTATCATCGTAAAGCTGGATAGTCCCAAGTTTTTTATTATCAACC